AAGTCGTAGTCGGCACTGCCGCGTAGAACGATTAATTTATAGGTGCCGGCGTCGACGAATTCTTCTATCGTTTGAAAGGGCAGAACGCGGGTGCACGCCGTTAGGAAGCAGACTAACGCCGCCGAATAGTGAGCCGCTACCAACACCGCTGTCAAAAATATCGTCAAGTACGCGATGCGCAGCGACGTTCTTCTCGGAAACTCTGGAGGAAAAAATTTACTTATAAGCTCCAGTTGTACTTTTGAAAAAGAAGAAAATAGAGTCCGAGAAAATAGAATCGTGATATTTTATAGCCGAATGTTTAATTAGAACTGCCTCGGAAATCGTGTTTATTATTATAGGATTTATAGGATAGGGTGATACCTATAAGCGCCTGCTGGCAGAAGATACCCCAAATGCAGATAAAATTCTCAGAGATCAGTTCCATCATGCTTCCAGATTCGCGGATTGTTTTCATGTAAGATAGGAGAAGCGGCGCAATCGCTATCAGCGTGACAATCGTAGCCCACGTGCACGAATTGAATGTCTGTCACGATCGTACGAATTAAGATATTAGGTCTAGTTCAAAATCAAATCAAAAGACACGGTAGTGTCTCGCGCCAAGTACACGCGAAACGAGACCGCACCATGACTCTTTTACGCGACGCGACGATCGAGTTGCAAGTACTCGAGATGTTGAGATCTCAATAACGAGTGAACGAATCAAGTTCTAAGTAGGCTTGATCGATCGAGCTTACGCGATTTGAAAAGGAGCTATTCCAATATATTGAAAGAAGTCGCTAAAATTGTGATTACTTATCTTATGTTATTATACCTATTTCTCATTTACTAATTTACTTATTTGGTAATTTGCATGCAAGTTAATATTGAAAACTGTAGTTTGATGTTTAAAACAGCTACTATTATATGTCTACCCAATTTAGGAAATATAATATGATTTGTTTTATAAAAATATTAGATTAACTTTTATAATTATTGTAATATGTACATAAAATAAATATAAAATATTATATAATAAATTTACTTTTATCAAAGCATAAAAATGCAGAATACAATTACATTAGATTAGTATTAGCTGCATAAATTGATCAAAAATTACAATAATTATATTTGATTTTTTTAATGTGTTTGTAATTCACAGAAAATAAGGTGTAATCTGGAAATTTTTGTCTTTCTGCTCATTTATTTTATTGTTAACGTTAGAGCAATGAGAAAAAATTGATGAGGCACATTTAGGTGGCCGGACACATTAGGCAACTCTCACCTATTATTTTCGTAGCGGCAATAACGAGATAAGGATAAACCCATTATATAATTTTAATGTTAGTCAATCATATTACCTGAAAATAGCCGAGCCACTTGACGCCACATATTCCCGGTTCCTTGAAATACAGAGTGTTTCTGGATATGATAAAGGGCAGCGTGAAATCGACAAAGCGTACCCGAAAGCTCGTCATCGACATATCGGCGATAGCGAAATCCGCACGACCCGCTACAATCTCGCCCATCACTCCGGACCACGCCTGATTCTGTTCATCCCACAGACCATGCTCGCTCATTTGCGAGACGATCTTCAAGGTAAAGTTAAGAGAATACGTGAGTTCCTCCAATATTTTCCCGTACATGCTAGCCACGTAATTTCCAGCAAACTTGGTCATAATTGACGAATCCTGAATTTTTAACACCAATTAATTAAACAAATAATCCGTTTCACAATTATTAATTTTACCGTACAAGTTGTAAAATTATAGTATATCATTTTATTACAATTATTATGTTTTTAATTTATTACAAATTTTCTATTGTTAAAAAAATCGATATAATAATCTTTTTCAGAAATTGTATTATTTATATAATACTAATTATATTTTATATTTACATAATTCAAATTATATATTTATATTATACTAATTATATAATACTAATATGCTGCACAATATTATATTATTATATAAATAATACAGATTCTTGAGAAGATAAAGTAATATCCGATAAGTAAAAATCGATTTTTTAACAGTTAAAAATTTGAAAAGACATTTAATTTAAGTGTCAAATATTTCCACTAATATTAGTTGTTAATTTATTAGTTAGTTAGCGATATATTAGTTATAAATTAATTATCAAAGCGTACATATTATTTTATACATGCGTATACATATATATTTTATCTCTAGTAGCGAACTACAATAGCTTCACTAAATATTAGCCAATATTTCTCAATATCATGCTCATATTAATAATTAATTACATGCAAATGCAGTGTCAATATGACGCCAATATCGGCTATGGATGAAATGCAAATATTACACGCCTGCGATGACATGATCTAACGTGCAATAAATCTATTTATCGCGCTAAAAATCAAAATTGATTTGTAACACCAATCTGAGATATCTCTTTCTCTTTTGCAGAATTTTAAATAAACAGCAGATCTTTATATATTATGACGACGAAGTTGTGCTACTAGAGATATCATATATAGCGAAAATCACATCTTATCGAGCACCTTGACCGTGACCGC